ATGTGCTGGTGGTTATGTGTGTATAATCCTTCTGTGAGATTTCTTTGCAGCATTTTCCGGGACCTGTGCGTTTCTGTCCTTTTTAAGGTAGGTTCTCTGTGAGAACCCCTTTGCTGGATTCAGAAACCAGGTGCTCGACTGGCAGTGTTACCTCACTCGTCGATATTGTGTCGAGCCGGTATGATAGCCCTGGTTCCGGCTTCATGATTCCTGGACCATGCGGCCAGGTCAGAGGCTTCTGCGGGAGCCTTCTTGATCATCAGGCCCCCGGCACGACACTGCAAAAAATTCCTGGATATCCGGTCTCCAGGATATCCCCTCTTGCTGAGGCATCGAGCGGGAAGCATAAGGTGGCATTTGCGAGAACCTTCTTGAGCAATGCTGTCTCAGGCAGTGTTCCCCTCGCCTTAGAGGGTCGTATTTGAGCTTGCCTCTCCCGTTTGGCCCAGTACCTCTGGGTATCTGTGATCAGATGCCTGGAAATTTAAATCCATGCTATAGTAAGTGCACACGCTAAGCTCTGTGCACTTTCTGAAACCCACATAGTGGTAAGTGCGCACGTTTAACACTTTGCGCACTTTCTAAAAACCACAGTAGTGGTAAGTGTGTACGCTAGACTTTGCGCACTTTCTGAAATCCTGTACGGTAAGGGTTACGCGTTTTAGCTTCGTTCCCTTTCTCTGAGTTGGTTAGACCCCGGTACCTTGGGCTCCACTCAACCAGTGTGTCTCTATTTTTGACACACTTGGAAGTATCGTGAGACTTGAAAGTTAGTAGAGATCACTGTTGCAAGATCCCGCGATAAACATTTCCGTCGATTTGAATTATTTTATTTTTTTATAACACTAGAGATGGCATTATATTTACCTGCTACATTCTTACTTTGGTCTGGTAAGTATCTGTGTTTTCATTTTGACATGTGGTCATTATTTATCTACATTATTTTTTATCATGTTTAGGAACTGTGGCATTTTAGTATAGGAGTTGAGCGGATCATAGTTAATCCATGATCCTGACGGACTAGGCCCCACGGTTCGGCACGCATGCGATCCATGGACTAATTGCAAAATATAACCATAATAGAATGAAAGTTTATCATTTATACATGTGACAAGCGATTTTAAACCATGCCAGCACAAGAAGAGGTGAAAGAGCAAACAACAAAACACAGCTCTGACAAAGATTAATCTTTGTTTAATGTATACAGTGAACACACTCAGAAGAATTGGGCAAAGAGTGGAACAAGACACTGTGTTCCACAGAAGAGGAGTTCCAACACCTGGAAAAGCAGATGGAAAGTGAAGACATCCGGGTATCAATGGTTAAAAGAAAAAACACCCCAAAGTGCATTTCCTCACTGAATCTCCATCATCTATTTGAACTGTAATATTGAATTTATGACTTGTTGCATACAAGCATGAGCTAATAGAATATATATGTCATTGTACAAGTACAATAAGTCATTTTGAAACGTCAATCTTTGTCCACAATTGTTAACCACCTCAATTTGTATTATATTTTAGGGTTTTACAAGATTCCATAATGTCCAAATTCAACATGAAGGGGGGTGGTCCGCTGCAGAAAGAGGCATTTGAAAAGAATGCACTGTTCTCGGTCATTAGAGGTATGTGTATAAAACACACAACATTTACCAGAGAGCTTCTGTCTTTTTTTTTAGGCTGAATGGTGATACATGATATATATCTCGTTTTTGTTTTTAGTATGCATCCAAGCAAAAGAGACTCCCTGTCACAATTAGTGTAATTAAAGTAAAAAATGATCAAAAAAGCTTTTCTCGTGCATTTTTTAAAATTATTTGGCAGATGCGGTGATGACCAACTTCCGGCAGCAACAGAGTTGGACTTAAGGAATGCAGTTGTGAAAAAATTCCATATTTTTTTTATTATAATCTTTATGTTTAAGTGCATTTTATTTATAATCTTTTATTTTGTCATTAATTATTTTATATTTTTATCATTTTGTATTATCATAAGTTGTCTAATTTGTTAAAAATGTTATTTTTCCTAATAAAATCTTTATATTTAATTTGTTTGGAGTCTCTTCTTGGGCTATGGCTAGACATGTATTACATTTTAACTGACAGCCTTGTTTTAGCCTAGACATCCGGGCTGAGTTTGGACGGCTATTAGACGTCTTCTAAATGCAAAATTGCTTGCTGGGTTCATGTACTTTGAAGGATGCAGCCTTTGAATTTTGACACAGTTACAGAGTGACTTTCCTGTTGTTGCAATAAAACAGATAAATAAGACAATGATATGTAATGAAATACAATAACACTCACTGTTTATCCTTCTGTTTTACATTAGAGATGTAAATATAGTTCAGCTGGAATGTCTAAATGTGGTGCTGAATCTCCATCATCTATTTGAACTGTAATATTGAATTTATGACTTGTTGCATACAGAGAGGAGAGAGCATGAGCTAATAGAATATATATGTCATTGTACAAGTACAATAAGTCATTTTGAAATGTCAATCTTTGTCCACAATTGTTAACCACCTCAATTTGTATTATATTTTAGGGTTTTACAAGATTCCATAATGTCCAAATTCAACATGAAGGGGGGTGGTCCGCTGCAGAAAGAGGCATTTGAAAAGAATGCACTGTTCTCGGTCATTAGAGGTATGTGTATAAAACACACAACATTTACCAGAGAGCTTCTGTCTTTTTTTTTAGGCTGAATGGTGATACATGATATATATCTCGTTTTTGTTTTTAGTATGCATCCAAGCAAAAGAGACTCCCTGTCACAATTAGTGTAATTAAAGTAAAAAATGATCAAAAAAGCTTTTCTCGTGCATTTTTTAAAATTATTTGGCAGATGCGGTGATGACCAACTTCCGGCAGCAACAGAGTTGGACTTAAGGAATGCAGTTGTGAAAAAATTCCATATTTTTTTTATTATAATCTTTATGTTTAAGTGCATTTTATTTATAATCTTTTATTTTGTCATTAATTATTTTATATTTTTATCATTTTGTATTATCATAAGTTGTCTAATTTGTTAAAAATGTTATTTTTCCTAATAAAATCTTTATATTTAATTTGTTTGGAGTCTCTTCTTGGGCTATGGCTAGACATGTATTACATTTTAACTGACAGCCTTGTTTTAGCCTAGACATCCGGGCTGAGTTTGGACGGCTATTAGACGTCTTCTAAATGCAAAATTGCTTGCTGGGTTCATGTACTTTGAAGGATGCAGCCTTTGAATTTTGACACAGTTACAGAGTGACTTTCCTGTTGTTGCAATAAAACAGATAAATAAGACAATGATATGTAATGAAATACAATAACACTCACTGTTTATCCTTCTGTTTTACATTAGAGATGTAAATATAGTTCAGCTGGAATGTCTAAATGTGGTGTGGACATAAGCAAGTGAATGAGAATGTGTTTACATGCAAATATGTTCATGTTTTATAAAGAAACAGAAAATAAGCAGGAGTATGAAACAAAAACAAAATAATTTTCACAAAGAAGAATTATAAAAAAAAAGTAACGATGTTTTAAATTAAAAGAAGAAAGAATATTTCTTTTTATCTTTTTTTTTTAATTCTTCGAACCCTCCTCTCAATACACACACACAATACTTTTTTTAATAACTTCTCTCTCTCTCTCTCTCTCTCTCTCTCTATATATATATATATTTGGATTAAGGTACATACTCCTGTTGACTGATACTGACTGGCAGATGTCAATATGCAAATAAAGGGAAAGAGATGACAAATAAACAAATATGGAGGAAGTAAAATATGAAAATTAGTATTAGAACAAAACACAAATGATGTGACGTGCTGAATGATGGATGAGAGCAGATATAATAATCACATGAAGCTACAGACAAACACACAACCTCTAAAGTAAGAACAACTCACGTGTTCATTTTTTCACTAGAATTAGACTTTTGGCATATTCATATTGACTAAATGATAATGTTTGTTGCATTCATTCAACTGTTAAGATACCAACTGAAACTGTCATATTTGACTCCAAACCAAATCCAGAAATGTCTGATATTTGAATTTTCCAATGTGCTTCTTTCTCAGAAATGGACCAAAATCTATATTTCATTCTTCTTCTCATTGGTGAGTGTGTTTGTGGTTTTATTTATGGTTTCTAGTTTCATTAGGTTTGATCCTGTTATGAAGATCATTGAAGCAAAGCCTCTCTTTCACAGCTCTCTGCTCCGTATCTGAATGTGTTCAGCGTCAGTATCACTTTATAAATGAGAGGAAGAACTGGACTGAAGCTCAGAGATACTGCAGAGAGAATTACACAGATCTGGCCACCATTGACAACATGAACGACATGAACGAGCTGAAGAAGAGTGTGAATGATGAAGGTGTTCAGTTTTTCTGGATTGGGCTGCAGAAGACGGGTCGTGATGAATGGGAGTGGCCTTCAGGTGAACCTGCACTCTAGCTGAACTGGGCTACTGGACAACCAGAAGGCAGAGATTATTGTGGTATGATGACAAATGTAGAATGGAATGATATGCCATGTAGTGATGCCCAATATTTTATCTGCAACAACAGTGAGTGCCGCTATTTAAAATCACAACAACTGTTTACAGATGCACCACATTTTAATGCAACACTAAACACTATCACTTTTTAATTTGATCGCGAATATAGAAGAGACTGTGGATATTTGCCACACTTTTAATGTTGAGACACTTTCTGTATAGACATCATTTTCCAGAAATAAAAACAAAAAAACACTTAATTCATTGCAGTTGTAGAATAACTTCAATCTAGTCCATGAAGGAGAAAATACTCAATTAAAATATAAAACAATCGAGCATCTGTCACGCTACAGTGAATAATAATCGCACGAGGAAGAAGAAGAAGATCAAGTCAAATAGCCTTTAATTAATCCAATCAATCCAAACTGAACAGACTAGAACTTAAGTAAACGGGCAAATGAGGATAATTAATAGAACACAGGTGAACAGAATGACGCAATCAGACATGAGGGAAAACTAGGTCACGAGCACATGAAGAAAGAAAACACAACAAAAAGTCCAGTGGCCTGTAGCACGAAGCGAGATGAACAAACTCAGAGTTGCAGAGTGAGTTTTGAGTTGACAAAACCCGATAAAGTCAACCTGGGGGCTGTTTCATAAAAGACGCTAAGAAAAGCGGGGATTAAAGTCCAAATCCTGACTTGAAATAACCTAACAAATCAATCGGGACTAAAGCGGTTTCAGAAACGACAATTTAAGTTCATGCAATCTCACTAATTCGATCCAGGTTCAATGAGTCAGGATAATTTGATGTGCACGCTTATTCTTAAGCAGCCCTTAATGTTGATCATGGATCAAATCGATCCACCATGGCAAACAGCAAATATTTGTGCTGTTTAATGCATTTGAGATGTTGTGTTTTCCTCAGTGCATAACTGACATGTCACAGGTATATTTTTCATCTGTAAATGTTAGAAAGTCATGCAAATATATACATTTTTCTGTCAGGAGTGGGCGAGGCTTAGTGAGTGAACGAGCGCTGCTGCGCTCATGCGCTAAACCGAAGTATGCGTTCTGCTAAAATATTTGTTGTTGGGCATTAAATGTGACACATGTAGAATTTTAATCCTACATATAAGTGAATTTTTATCATAGCAGTAACTGTAAATCAAATGTAAGCTGCTAATACAGCCCTACTATCTCAAATGAGTTAATGAGTTCATCTTATCAGTTAAAAAGTAATCTGATTTCTATTATTTATTTTCATTCAGCGGTGTTAACTTTTAATTTAGTGTTTGTAATGCTTTAAAGAGCAGTTTTAGATTGTTATTTTTTACTGTTCTACTAATAACCATAAAAGGTACAGCTGTCATAAAACCCGAGAGAAAGGCTGCATGGCTAGAAACTGCTGATCAACTGAATGCGCATGTTAAAATGTTTTCAAATATCTTAAAACAAAGTCATTAAATCTTGGACACAATACATTAAATAGCAACAGTTTGTTGTAGCATATATATATATATATTTTTTTTTTATTATTATTTATTTAAGTTGCATTTTCTGTATACTTTTATTTTTGGACTGATAAAGTAAAATAATTGTATGTGAGAGAGTCAGCGCCGTAATATCAGTGCGTTCCTATCGGTCAGTGTTAGAGGAACTCAGCTTAGCCTGACAGTTAGCCTGCTCCGGAACAGGTTAGTTTCCCAGCATAAGTTGCCACAGTGACTGAGCTTGAGCT